GACAAGTGTGCAGCTTACGTTGCGATATTAGTAATTTAATTATTAATTACCAAATCAATTTACTAACTATGGACTCTAAATGGACAGCAGAACGAGATGCCGAAGCTGTAAAAATTTTAACTGATGATGCTTCTATATATAAAGATAGGCGATATTATCATGTCCGTTAGAAGTTTGATTTAATCGAGGTAGCTGGGCGTTAGACGAGTGTGGCGAAAGCGCGATCAACGTATTATGGCAGTTTTCGACTTTCAGTCGAAAGTTTTCCTAGTATTATTCGTGAAATTTATTATTACAATATGATTTTATTAAATTTCCAGTGTTTTATGTGCAATCATAAATATAACACATTAATTTATATTGAATTATGTGTTATCATTATTTTAAGAATGGTCTTGTCGATTTCACGCAATCGGCAGTATTATGCATTTAAAGTTGCCGATTTCACGTTGTCGGCAACAGCGATGCAGATTTCATGAAATCGGAAATTTCATAAATTYGGCGTAACATATATATATATATAAAAAATTCTCAAAATTTAATCCTTTCTTAAATGTTCAATGAAGAAAATTAAGAATCACTTATTGAAATAATAACTAATCTATATTTTAAGATGGACTAAATCACACACATTTARCATTATTGATTGAATAGTTTTGGAGTACAKCATAATATATTGATAATAAAAAAAATTTAATTTCAATATATTTTTTTTTGGAAAAATTAAAGATATACAATTTYTAAATTTCTTTAAATTTTTTTAAATCAAAATTTTTGGAGTACCTATCTAATTAAATTAATTTGAAACGTTTTCGTCTAATAATATTTTTTTTGTTGATTTCCTGATAAGTTTTTCCTTAAATTACTTATTAGTTATCATCCATGTAATTTTCTTAATTTGCCCTACGTAACTATGTTTATTGTTTAGCTATAGAATCATTTTTCATTTGTATTTTATAGATCTTTTTGTTACGCTCTGTATAAGTACAGCCAACGTGCAATAAACAAATTTGTGTGTGAGGGAGAGTGTAGGWATGTGTTTAGAATTTATCATTAGTTTTATACTATTTTTAATTCATCGGGATTGAATTCTCTGACGATTGTGACATCGTTGTAATTGTCGGACTTCTGAACGACCACCAACTTATTTCCATCCTGGGTGAATAGTGAAGTAACTTTGTGATCATATAAAGTCTCCTCAACAAACTCTTCGTTGAGGTAGAACTCGATAGAAAAGTCTTTTTTATCCGAGGTTGATGATAATACCAATTTTCCGTCCTCCTTTTTGGTTAGTTCCACCACAGGAATTGCAGAGTGACACAAATTACGATCCTCCAAGCTGACGCCTATAAAAAAAAAAACAGATAATATTTTTAACCGTCTTTTTCCAATATGCATAAACAGATAATGCTTTTATGGGCGTTACAAATTAAAATTAGTATAAGATATATATCTCGCACAAGATCCCCATCGATTTTGTTGGATAGCATTTGAAAAGTTTCTGTGGCTCTTATAGTCTATATCAGTATTGACCAAATATTCTTTGATTAAGATTTAATAAGAATATAAAATTTTTCCTTTAAAATTTGACAAACGTACTCAATAAAATCATTTTTTCCTTAAATATTTATCACTAAAATTTATTTATATTTATGAAAAATAAAAATAAGTTTATAAACATCAGATTATAGATATTGTGTACATAATACAGTGTATCTGAGTAGAAAACTATTTTTATCAAAAAGATTTATTATTTTTGTTTCTCAATTTGCTTTTATGACTTATCCTACTGAAACATTTTATTGATACGTTAAATAGTGTTTACTTATTTTTAAACACAGTTTTATCTGGTTAAGTGTTGTCAAGTACATTATAGAATAATAATGTTTTTAACCCTGCTGGTGGACCTCCCTCTCAAGTAATTTAAGATTTTAAATCTTATGTTATTAACCAAGTTTACTAATATTAGAAATAAATTACAGATGATAAAATACTCTGGTGCTTAAAACGTTTAAATATATAAAAAAAAGCGGGTAAGTGGATGTCGCTCTGCTGTACATTAGGGGGTGGGGTGGACCTCTGACTAGGGTAGGTTAGATTTGAATGCAATGATAGGTATCATTGTATCCTCATAGGTTAGAAACGTTTTTCTCCTATCTAACTCGCATACTTATAAATACTTAGTGTGTATATATTCGCATATATTAGATTGTATGCACATCATAAAATTAACTATTTAAAAATATTCTTGATTAATATGTATTTTATCTTTCATTCTCACATCTTTCTTACAAAAACATCAAACTGTATAAAGTGTACAGAAATTTTCTTGCAAATTTTCGCGCTTTCGACAGATTTCGTACAAATTTGAACTATAAACGCTTATAAAAAAAAATTGTGCCTAACGATTTTTAATTTTTTTTAGCTACAATAAGAAGTTTTTTTTGGTTATCCAAAATTTTTTTACCTACACTTCAAAAAAAAATTGTCTTTGAAAATTAAACTGTATATAGATAACACTAACATAAACATTTGGTGAAAATCTCAAGTATTTACAGTGATTAGTTTTTGAATTACAACCATATAAAAAATCGATTTGGTCGAAAACTGGTTTTGCGTGATAATTCCCGTTTTTCTGTCACTTTTTTTTTGTTTTTCTCGAATTTTTTGAAAATTATTGGAAAATGTTTACTTTTGACCTGTATAATGCACCAAGGATATTCACTTTTACATCGGAAACCACCCCCAAAGTTTGAAATTGAAGCAGTATTTCGACTAGTTATCCTGTACACAACCTCAAAAAAAAAAATACACACACACATCATTGTAAAATCAATACATTCATCACTCCGTTCAGAATCTAAAATAATTATAACTTATCATACTTTGTAATTTATTTCTCTGGCCATTGATTTTTATTCTTACAAGAAAGTACAGAACAATAGCATCGTGTATCATTGAAAAGATGATATTTTTAAATACATAGGTATAGTTTTATCCTAGTAAACCCATTCAGTAATTTTTATACATTGCTTCCTATAATCCTATCTGTTTTATKGCCATATAAACTCGTTTTACAAATGAGAATCACCCTTCTGGAGTATTATATAACTAATAACTTTTTTGGAGATTTTGAGTACCGATTTATATTAAAATTTTATAATAATGAATAGTTTTAGAGTTTTTTTTAACTTTGTGTAGGTACTATAAATATRATAGGTCCATGACAGTAAATTTGATTAATATTGGTCAWGAGGGCTATGATGATTTAAAAAYGATAGCAATTTAAAATGATACATTTTTAAGTTAAAATCATATAGATATATAGGTAAGTTTATTTTATATTTTGCAATAAAATAATTTTAAGAGATTTTTTTACTACCTAAAATTTTWCAATAAAAAGGTAAGTTCATGTTTTGAAAAACAGAACTCGATTTTTAAATGGTATACAATTAATTTAAATWATTAAAAATATGGTCTTTGAAATATAGTTTCCAGGAATCAGAATTTGAATAAATAGRGCGGGTGATCATGTTTGTAAAATCACTCTGTATATTTTTTATAATAATCTGAATGATTTATRTATTTTAAAAGCATTACTYAGGTTTAAAATTGATTGTTTTTTAATTAAACCTATACAATTACAATGCTAACGGAGAATCACTTAGGATTTTCTTTAATACAATTTAAATCAATTACAAATCATCCTTTACAATTTGAAGGTTATTGGAAGTTATAATAATAAAAATGTTAATTCTTACAAATTCATTTTCATGATACTCTGTATAAAGTTTTATGTGTGGACAAAAAAAATTAAAAAAGCGGGTAATTGTTTGTCACTATACAGTATACTGTACAGTATAGGTTACAAGTTGGTTTAAGTATTTTAAAATTTATAACACCAGTGTAAAGTATATTTATTTTTTAAACAATAAATAAATGTGTTATTTACTTACCCAGAGCTTTCAAGAATTCTTCAACATTTTCACTGGCGTGCAGCTTGTACTTTTTGTTGAAAATTAAAGACATTTTTAATTGTTTTGAGTTTCCTTAAATATTTTAATATCTGTAATGACTGCAATATGTTATGACGGCTGGATTACAGTTGTTTGTAGGCGACTCTACTGACAGCGAATAATAATATTTTACGTTCGTTCGAATATAAACTGGTCGGGTTACTTTTTGATATTATTTTAATCGTTAGTTTTTGCTATGATAGGCATACGATAAAATATAAAAAAMACATAAATAATCTTTGAAAAAAAATTTCCATGAAATCAAAAATGCAGAATCACATTAAATAAATATGCCAAATACATACATTTTGTATTATATAAATCATTAWATAAAATCAATTAAGTTAAGTTATCGTCATGTAATTGAACTTAAGCTTCGAAAAAAATAAATCTTAATAATGTGATAAGTATAATTTTTAATGTTTTAGATATATTAGTCATCTTAATAAATATAACAGTTTTTCGTATTATGATAAATTATCAACTAAAATTCTTTRCATATTTTTTTCTWTCGGTTAGCAAGAGTTTAGTAACCGTTCAAATTCGCATACAACTAACCATCTTATTCAATATTTTAATTTTGAATCTAAAACYTCGGTAGTAGCTAGGTACTAATTAATTTTYATACATTTAATCTATAAATTATAGACTATATTATGCCTACTATCTTCCAAACGATGTTTGAATATTTTAAAGTTACATTTTTTAACAAAAATTAATT